AAATCTAAGAAAGAATATCTCCATTTCAGAGATGAGGCAACTAAGGCAAAAACAGTTTAAATAACCTTCCTGAGGTCACAGAATTTATTATCAAAGGTTAAGCATACAGTTCAGCAAGCTGATATTTGTATTCCTTACATCCAAATTATATGGAACTCATTTAGGAGACTTTCCCCCTCAAATCTCTGAAGAAGTTAATTGTAATTTGTCAGACATTTCTTTCTCACAGAGAGCAGTTGGCTCTCTTACTGATATTTCTTTTCTTTCTTTCTTTTCTATTTTGGTACTGAGGACTGAACCCAAGGGTGCATTGCCACTGAGCCACATTCCCAGCCTTTTTCATTTGAGACAGGATCTCACTGAATTGCTTAGGGCCTCTAAGTTGCTGAGGCTGGTGGCTGGCTTTGAATTTGGGATCCTCCTGCCTCAGCCCACCCCAACCTCCCAGTCACTGGGATTACAAGTGTGCACCATGATGCCCAGCTTGATATTTATATTAGGAAGGCAAATATTATTTTTCTCATATTTTCTGTGAGTACCTGAAAGATGTGTAATCACATCCACCTTCCCAGACCCTCAAAGGCCTTTGCTCTCCAGTTTGTTTGTACATCATAAAATAATTCTACCTTTTCCTTTTCTAAAGGATATTGGTACTTCTCTGGCATCCCTTACTATAGATACTCATAGATACTCATGAACTTTTCTTGTTCCTAACTTCTGGATTTTGAAGGACATTGAGGATAGCCATTTGATTTTGCTTACATTTCATTCAGTGTATTTATTACCAGTATGTTCATAAATAGTTATTATTTTATTATCCATGTGAAAAATTAAACTCTTATCCTTTTCACCTTCAGCAAATATCTTGAAAATCAGGGATGACTTTCAGATATAGATCCTCTTTCTCCAACAATAAAACCTAACAAACCTAAGGCTTTGTTAGAAAAATTGCATATTCCTTTGAATCAATTTTAAAATCTTTCTTTCAGTTTCCATTATAGTCAGTGTATTATCTTGGCATTTTTTATTCTTGGTTTTTCTCACCAGTTGCTCCAGATTTGAGAGTGAGAAAGGAAAATAGCACCATTTCAATACATGATAACTCAACATACTTCATGGTAGGCTTGATTCATTTTGGACATTTTCTTTTAAACAATGTTTTTGCTTAAAATTAACATTGTAGTTTAGTAACTATACAATCAATCAGGACTTGAAAAACAGTTAAAAAGCCAACTGGTCAGACAGTGTTAGTACTGACCCTGTGAACAATGCCCTGGAGTAGAGGAGAGACCAAATACGGTTCTGGGTGCCACAGCAGTGGTTGGAGTTCAAGGGTGTTCAAGGGTGGACTCTTTACTAAGAAGGTCAGAGTCTCAACCTTCCTTATCAAAAGAAAGAGCCAGCTTTTTTGTATCAGTCTTTTATCAAGGATGAGCCCCCAAAGTTGGTGTTTGAATGAACAGAACACTGGATGTCAGTTTACACGTTCTGATTAGTACTGCGTTCCAACCTACTGTAGCTTTTTTTTTTTTTAATTTTTTTTAAATTTTTTATCAGCAAAGGAGAGAAGGTGGAATAACTCATTGTTTCATTTCTAGGTCCAGGTCCTCACTGGGGGCATTAAGATGGATAAGATGTCACCCTATCCCTCTGAGTAATGTAAGGAAATAGTTTTGATATCATGTGACTCATATAGTGATTGAGGTTTAGAAATAAAAAACAGGTTGATACTCTTTGGGCCAGTACAATCAGGTCACCTACTGGACCTTTAAATGTAAAACAAGAAACTGCAATCATCAAGGGATAGCAAGGGCTAGAAAATGGAAGACATTTTATGTTTGAGGAATGTTGGAATTTATTATGCAGATATAGGGAATTGTTAAAGAACTTTAAGCAGGAGAGTCACATGATTTATTGAGGGACAATAGATCCAATATCCAACAGAGGGTGGATATTTGAGGGATATGTGATCGGAGTGGGGAGACTATCAGTAGGGTAACCATATATTCCAGTGTTCCTGAAACAATTCAGATTTCTGCCTGTTTTTTCCCTCAAGCATAATAATCAGTCACTGTGTACCACTTTGCTTTTTTGTTTTTGTGTGGGCAGAGTGGTACTGGGGATAGAACTGAGGGGCACTCAACCACTGAGCCACATCCCCAGCCCTGTTTTATTTATTTATTTATTTATTTATTTATTTATTTATTTATTTATTTATGTGTGTGTGTGTGTGTGTGTTTTATTTAGAGACAGGGTTTTGCCAAGTTGTTTAGTACCTTGGTTTTGCTGAGGCTGGCTTTGAACTCTCGATCCTCCTGCCTCAGCCTCCCTGAGCCTCTGGGATTACAGGTGTGCACCACTGTATCTGGCCCTGTGTTTCACTTTGGATGACACATTCAATGGACCCTACTACTTAAAAGTCTACTGCAGTGGCCTAAGATTTTATGTTCCAGGTTCACTGGGCTTGTTTAAGTGGGTGGAGAAGAGTTGTTGCCCAGTACTCTCAATTACAACAGGAACTTTGACACCAATACAGTCTCTTCTTATATACTTCACACAGCCAGGACAGGGATAAAAGAGATTACAGTTAGAGCTTAGTACATCAATCAAATGCTAAATATCGCAAATATGTAATGGCTGACTGGTGAACCATTCCATGGACCTGTGATTTGTCACACTGCATCTGCCTCAGAAATTTGAAAGGAAATAAAAGGAAAGTCATAATCAACTGGTGAATGAAGTAAGAAAGATAAGCCTTGGTTGTGCAGGCTTGAGACCTTGCTCCTTGAAATGGAACTGGATTTTCATGAAAGGTTTTGGTACTTATTTGAGGACAGCAGGAAAGGCCATGTAACCTTGTTAAAGTTTCATCAGTCTCTGGGGGGTTATTATAACCTTGGAAGATGGCAAATACAGAGGCAATTTAGTCAATTAAAAGGGACAATGGTTTGTTTCCTAGTATATGTACTAAATCACAAGCTGTGGCTTGGGCCTGCTGTTAGAACACAGAAAAGTTTACTCGGTGACAATAATTGGAGAATATTTTTTTAAAAGAGGATGAAGTAACTAGACCCAAGAGGACAGAGATGTTGCTATCAGAAATATACTTCAGCAGAAAAAAATTATGAATAAGAAGGAATAAAAGCGTGAAAGGCTGCCATTTATTTCATTTTTAAAAATCTCTCCCTCCAGTTTCTCATTTCTTACGTAAGAAGCAGGCCTTCCTCTCACTCGAATGCCACTATAACCTTGTATTTATAGTGTGCTTATCTCCCAGAAGCTCGGAGGAGCTCTCTCTAAATTCATGCCATTTCAGAAAGTATTGCTTAACAGAAAAGGGATGCTATTATTTAATCAGTCACTTCATTAAATGTTGTAGCGGGAGCTTGAGGAGTGGATTTGCCATAAGTGTGCTGATTGTGTGGTGGGCTGCACACATGCAGGTCACAGTATCGACATCCCCTGCCCACCCCCAACCCAGCTGCTTGGGAAGCGGAAACATGGGATTATGATTTTGCAAGTAGGAACCGGGCTTGCCATCATGCCTCTGCTTTTGACTGGGAATCAGGGAACTGCTTCTGATCTGCAAAGCATTATATCCAGTTTGCCCATTTGCCTTCATGACTTTTGATGTCCCTGAAATATTTCTGTTGATTATCTCTCTATATGGGAGCTCTGTATAAGCACTGGCAAGACAATTTGCCTGAATAGTTTTCAACCTCGGACTTTCCCCCAACATTTATTCTTCTCAGACCGTCATTTGCAGAATTTCTTTTCATCAGATTTATTTTCTCTGGTTTTTGCTTCAGAGAAATAGAATTGAACAGAAAAATATTCTCCGAGGTAGAAGTGCTGATGGCTTTGGGAATGGAAATATTTCAGTAGTTCTTTCAGAAAGGTTTTGTTGCAGCTTAGTTATTCTTAAAAAAAAAATGCTTCCCATATATACCTAATTTAATGAGTTCAAACTCAGATAATTGCCTTGCATCTGCTGAAAGTATGTCTCACCAAATTTTCTGTTTAACTAAAAATTTATTTTATACTTTTCATTTAGCTAAATGTTTATTTCAGAAAAGTGAGAAAGCCTGGCCCATGCACAATTAGAGACCTATTCTGTTCTTACTAAGCCATCTCAGTCTCAGCCCTCTCATCCATTCCTATTTGTCTCCCTTTCTGCCTTCTCCTTTTAGAGGTTAGGCAGACACCATGTACGTTCACGCTCATGAACACACCTCAGAATATTATATAGGAAGGAATGCCTAGGACATTTAAAAAATCTCTGGCATGTACATTAATTGCATATTTTATAAAGAATTTAAATTGATTGCCTTATTCAATAGTTTTATGAGGTAATTTAAAAAATTTGTTGGAAATATTGTTTTGATATTAAGGCTAATACTAGTAATGTTATTTTTTCATGGAACTGTATGCCCCTGTGAGAGTGGCTAATCCCAGCCACAGAAAGTATGAGATGCCTAATCCTCAGTGACCACAGAAGGAATCAACCTGAACATGCCCCTCTCAGATGGTTAAAACCCAGAAATGATGTGTTGTCACTGCCCAGTTGTAAGATAGATTCAATTATAAGCACTATTGCTAAATCCTAATCAATGTCAATTTGGATTAGGGCAAAATGATGGCATCAATATTTATTCATTTGTTTGAATTTTTAACAATTAGTTAAAAAAATCAAAAGTGATCTCCTCTTAGCATCCTTGACATATTTACTATATATAATACATATGCAAACATACAATAATAAAATGAAAAATTTTGTCCAAATTCCCAGTGTTTACAAAATGTAAAGGCAAAATCATATTTGATAGTTGTTTAGAGGGATTTGTTTTGTAATGGGCTTGACTTTCTGTGCACTGAATGAATTGACACTTTACTAGGTACATCAAACTAGCCTTTTCTGTTCTTCATATTATAATGCCATGTGAAAAAAAGAACTGATTAGAAAGTAATTAGTTAATAAGCCTCTTTTCTGTTTATTCTAGGTTTCAGGAAGGATTCATAAAACATCACTGCATAGTAATGCAGCTATTACAATGATATATTTGGGGAAAAATGTGCACCTAGCTTATGACAACCAAGATTTCCGAGATGAAATAAAAATTTATCAACAGCACTGTGGTGGGGAAAACCTTTGTGTCTACAAAGGCAAACTATTTGAAAATGGTACGCATGAAACGTGCATATTTTAATTGCTTGAGGTTGATGTTATAGATAAGCTGTTGTTGATATAATATCAAAATGACTTCAATCACTTTATGAAATTATGCATATCCAGGGACTTATAAACCAGCTGCCTAAAAGTAAATCTAGATTTACTGCTCCATGATTGAAACTGAAGCAGCAATTACTCCTGCAGATTGTGGAAGAAGGAATTTGAAGTGATTTAACCTGGTAACAGATTAATTTTGGGATAGAGATGTATGATCATTAAAATGTTGCACGAATAAGCTGTGCCCCAAATTATAAGTTAACTCTTTGGCTTGCCATAGTGAATTATATCGTACATTATTCTAAGAGAAAAATAACAGATTGGCAATTTGTTCTTTAGAGGTGTGTTGAGATAAAATCACAAATCCAATAAACTTCAGGGTGAATCACACCTAAATAACTTGGTGCAAAATTTGGCTAAATGGCTTCTTAGTAAATTTCTGTTTTCATCTGGTCATAAATTCATGTTTATCAGAATATGATAATTTTTATATCCTGGATTTCACATGTTGTACTGTAGTGTTTTTCTTCAGTATTTGGTTTAGTGAAGAAACAATGAAAAAGCAAATTATTTACAGGATGGTATCTGTTAATTTTTGCTTAAGAAAGTCTGTTAAGATTGTAATACTATTTTTACTAATTAAAGTGACTATTTATATTTGCAGGGTCTTGTCAGAGACTTAGGAATTTTGGGAGTGCAGGACAAACATAGGAATTTTACTTTTGGCTTTTCTGATTTCTCTCATACAATCAAAAGGAAATTGATGGAATTAATGAAAAAATTCAAACTCTTAAAGATATAACTATATATTTAGGAATTGCATGTTTTAAACTTCCCAAATAAACAAGACTAAACGCTTGCATGTTAATTTTGACTTAAAATGTAATATGATGCTCAATTATGCCAGAAACTGTTTTTCTCATTTTGCATATTTGGTGGAAATGTAATTTACATAGACTCATTTTGTCATAGCCTTCCAGAGTTCATTCACTCCATCTGTAGATGAGGAAAATAGGAGGTGCTCCAAGTTGACTCCCCAAGGTTCCACGTCCAGTTCTGTACAGTCAAAAGCAGGGCCCTGACCCTGCCTAGGTGCAAGACCTGGGTCAGTTCTACACTACTTTAGTTAGCTGTATCAGTAACAGTAAGTTTCCTATAATTTTATAATATGAGGGACTTAAAACTCTGAATGAGTTTGGCATAGATGCATACATTTAGTTTTTTAAGTATAACTTTCAGCTATTAATTTAGGGAAATTACTGAAATTAGCTATAATCTAAAGTTAGAAATTACAGCAAGAACATTTTCCTGGGTCCTAGATTACACTTTATTCAATAAAATTTATACATAATACCAATTTGACTGCTGGATAATGTGGTAGATATAAATGAAAAAAATGAGTGTTGGCTGAACAGCATTCTGGTATTCTCTATGAGGGTACAGAATCAGTTTACATGAGGAGAGGGTGTTACCCAACTCAGTATTATTTGGCATGCATATTGATACTGGAACTTTTTGTTATGGCATTGGACAGTCTTGAATAATAGGAAGGAATTGTGGACTCTAATAATTGAATCTTGTCCATGTAATACTTTGTATCAGCTTGCCTTTGATTGCCAGGAAAGTAATTGTTCAAATTGAAAAGTTGGGTAGTTTAGAGTTGTCTTGAGGTTCAGCAATCTTAGCAGTTTAGTTGGACTGAAAATAATCTGCCCTTTTTACAAATCGAAGCTATGCACGAATCTGTCAAATGTGAATACATTTTTAGATATTTCTGTTAAAAAATAAAGGCCTTTAGCATATGCTTAGAGCAGTAAACTCATTAAAATAGGGCATTTTGTTAATTTGTCTTGCTTTTCTATTAAAAATAACAGTAAAATTATTTAGGAATGCAGCAAGTACATCTTTTATCCTCAAAGTAATTCATTATGCCTCTTGTAGTTAGATTTTAGACTCCAAATCACAAGCTGATTGCCTATTATATCACCTATGCAGTCACAATAACTTTTGCTACTTGTAAATGCTACAGTTTCTTCACAGGAATTTTTACTTGCCGCATTTATCTTTTTGAATAAAACCAACCTTGGCCTCATGGGTTCATGTGAAGGCAATGAACAAAGTCCCTTTTTTTTTTTTTTTCTCTCTTCCTTTTGTGCCCCATTTCCTTGTATTTTCATAACGTGATCCCATTTCACTCATTTGTGAGTCCTCATTATCCCCTGGCAAACAGCTCTTCGGCTGTCCCCCACACAATTTTGTGCTGTTTCCTTTGTTAGTGATGCACTATCCTTCCTTCTTTTTAACTTAAAATTTCAACCATTTTTAAGACTTAGGTTGAGCCTTTGAACCTTTCTCAGGGGACTTCCACTCTGCTCTACCCCAGTGGCCCATGGCTTTTGATACTCAAAACTGAAGCATTGTGTTTTTTCTTTTTTATTCATTGACTGTTTCTTTTTCCTTGACGTGTTATCATGTATGGATCTTTTTAAAGATTTTTTTAGATTTCAAGGTATAAATTAAATGCCTTGCAATTTGTTCTTCGTAAGCATGCCACTCAATAGTTTTTAGAAATTTGGATAAGTACTACAGCCATTATTATAAGCTAATTTTAGAACATCATCATGTCAGAAAGTCCCTGGGTGCTCATGGGCAGTGAGTCCTTACTCTCATAGTCAGCCCCCTGCAACTACTGATCTGCTTTCTGTCTCTACAAATTTTTATTTCTGCAAATGACTTCTGGATATTTTATATAAATGTAATCATACAATAGGTAATATTTTGTGTCTTGTTTCTCTCACTTTGCATACCATTTTTAAGAGACATGCATTTATTTTTAGTATAGTGACGTGTACAATTTTGAATTTTGGAGCATTTAGGATTTTAGATTTCCAGATTAGGGATTCTCAGACATTTAAAGTCTCTGCAAATATTTCAAAATGCAAAAAATTCTGAAATCTGAAACACTTCTTGTCCCAAAGCATTTCAGATGAGGGATTTTTCACCTGGATGTGCCAGTAGTTATGCTCATTGTATAGCCGACTATATGCTACCACATGGACATATCATAGTTTCTGTGCAATCACCAGTTAAAGGGTATTTGTATTGTTTCCATTTGGGGGCTATTAAAAATAATGCTGTTATGGACATATAAAGATTTTAAATATGCACATATTGTGATTCTTGATTGGATTTGTAGGAGTGGCTATTATTGCTTTTATATATTTTTCTGATTATGGCTCCTTTTCCTGTTTTTTTTACAAGTCTATTGGTTTTTGTTGGAACAAAAGATATTTTAGATTGTATATTATAGGTACTGCAAATTTTAAGAATTCTATTTTTATTTTTTAGTTTGGTCTCAAAGGTGTCTCTGATTTCATTAATGATTGGTAAGAGGTTAGACTCAAACACCTTGAGTTAGTATACCCTCTCCCTTCTGCTAGGAGATCTGTTGGTAGGGGTGTTAGTTTCCTAAGACTGATTGTAGCTGTCTCTCAGATTGTGGCTTATGACAATAGAATTTATTCTCTTACAAGTCTGTAGATCAGAAATCCCAAATGAAGGTATTAGCAAGTTCTTGCTCCCTGACAAGCTCTGGGGAAGAAAGATTTGGTGGCTCCTGGTAATTCTTGGCCCTCCTTTGTCACATGTAGCTCTGTCTCCAATCTCTGTTTCTGTCTTGACATGGCCTTCTTTGTACATCTCTGCATGTGTACTCTTTGTACCCTTTTCTTTCTATAAGGATGTCAGTCATCGGATTTTGGGCAAAACCGAAAGCCAGGATTATCTTATCTCACTCCTTCACTAATTTTATCTATGAAGACCTGATTTCCAAATAATATCACATCTTGAGGTTCTGAGTGGTTTTCAATTTCAGTGGCTCAGGAGGACATTCAAGTTCCAGTACTTTCCAAGTCTGCTCCAACTTTTATTTCCACCAGTCTCTATTTCTTCTCTGCATAAGTTAAGCTCCAAGTAGGCTGAGAATGAATGAATAGGTCAGGTCCACTCGGACCCGTGCTCCTTCCAGTTCGCTGGTGATATGGGAGAGCTTATTGAATACTTCTAAGACTGCCTTATGGCCTGTATCTCCCTGCTAAATTTCTGGTTGGTCCACTGGCGTGTTGCTATTCCTAATTAGAACTCCAATCTCAGGGAACCTCTGACCTTCCCTGTTAGCTTGCCTCCGAGACAGCTACTTATTACTGGTAGTGCCACAGGCCAAGAGATTTTCCCTCTTTGGCTCCATATCAAGGCAGCCCCCACTGACAGGGAAACTGCTGGTTATTTATGTGCTGCCCTCCCCAATTAGAGCTACTGTGATGAAACAGTGGCAGGAGTGGGGATGAGAGCAGCCCCAGGCAAGATGCCTCCGATTCTCTGCTGTTTCTACCTCAAGTTCAGTGATTTTTTTTATGAATGAGTGCTGCTCAGTTGGTTTTAAGACTTTGGTTCATTTCCAGAGACAAATTTTTAAGGGGAGAGGATTTGGTGAGCTCACTCTAGAAGCTTGGTACATTAATTTTGTCTCTCCTGCTGAGGAGATGACCACATTTGCTATTTTCATTTTTAATATTTTTGCTTTCTTTCAGTGCCTATAACAGCACTATCCACTGTTGGTAAATAATGAATAACTAAGTTTTGCAAGTATTATAAAGTGCTTTCTAATATTGTACATTACTTCATCTTTAAGTCTGCTCTGCAAAGTGGGTAAACTGAGATCTCCATCACCCCAACCATCCCCATTTTATAGGTGAAAATTCTGAAACCAAAGTTATATAACTTCCCCGAGGACATCCAAGTAGTAAGTGAAGAACTGGGACATGGACCAAAACTTTGTGATTTCTGGTATGAATCAAGTCAGCATTGGGAGATGTCACTATAATTTCAATTATAAAATTATAAAATAAATACAAAAGAGTAAAAGCAAAGGGTGTCAGTTATTCCTCAATAAATTTTGGGGAAAAAAAAAAGAACAAAATGGAATAACCGCTGGGTGTGCTCTCCAGCTGCATGAGCATCAAGTGGAGGGATGGTCCAGAAGGGATTTCCTGCACCAGTTCTCAGCATATTCCTGAGCATACATATTTTCTTCCTGCACTGGGTACTTAAGGAATTACTTGCACAGGCTGCAGCAGAATGGATTCTGTTACACGAATGTGGGGGTCAAGTTTCTGTAATGAAAGCAATCAAATTCGATTTCTAGTCACCACTTAAGGAGTTTACTTATTATTAAAACAAATGGATTTTTAAACCTATTGTGTTTTAGCGTCCCAGCATGCTAACTTTTTCAGTTTCCCCCCTAGTTTATTTAATCTCACATCAAAAATACTTATATGTAAATGGCAGAATTACTTTTTCAATAGTTTTTTTTTTTTTTTTTTTTTTTTTAGGAGAAGGTGCATCTGACTTAGAAATATTTTAGGAGCATAATGTGCTACACTCACAGCTTTTCTAGGTGACTGTGAAGGATGTTGGTCAAATAATGATTCATTAATTATTTTGGGAGTCCTCCCTTATACTTGTTCTTGGACGTAGAGAAACCAAGATGAGCAATACCAGCTTTAGTTCTCATGTTTTTTTACAAACATACAAGCATGTATCTGGATCAGGGTTCTCAAAGTGGGGTCCCAGGAACCAGCAGCATCCGGGTTGACTGGAAACTTGTTAGAAATGCTGACTAAGAAACTCTGGGGTAAATATCAGCAGTCTGTGTTTTAATAAGTCTTCTAGGTGATTCTGGTCCATATTCAAGTTTGAAAACCTCTGTTGTTCATGAGAAGCAGGATTGTAAAGAATAAGGTCTGTAAGTCTTGAAGTTTAGGGTCTCTTGAGTGGGATCTTTGTCAAAGAGAATTACAAAAATTTGGATGATTAAAGACTATTAATCACAGCCATTGGTTTATAATTAATTGGTAGGATGTTTCAGTGAGTGGGTAGGTGAGAATAAAGAAGTCTCAAATTCAAATAGAATTGAGTATGACTTGGAGATGGAATAACTCTGCGTCATTCACATATGTATTAGGATATTTAAGGTCACAACTAAAAATGTGAACTTTTAAAAAATCTTACTGACCTCACAGTATTCTTTTGTCATTATGTACTTTATCAAGAGCATTTGTGCATGTTGCTGCACACGTATCATCTCGACAACTCTGGAGGCTAAGGCACAATGATCACAAGTTTGAGGCTAGCATGGACGAATTATGGAGACTCTGTCTCAAAATAAAAATAAAAGGGTTGGAGATTAGCTCAGTGACAGAGTGGCCCTGAATTCAATCCCTGGCCTGGAAGGGGGAGGGATGGCAAATAACAAGAGACAGGCGTGGACTCTGTGGAGATGTTTATCTTTAATCACTAACTCTCCAACTTACTGTATGATAGTGAATAAATTACAGAACTCTTCTAAGCTTCAATTTCCTCATCTAGAAATAGCAATAGAAATATTCCCACTTCTTGTGATTGTTGAGAAATAGCAAAACTAAGATAATCAGGCATAGTGCTAGAATATAAGAAGTGCTCATATAATGTTAGATATTATTGTATATCAAGGAGTTGTATAAGATATTGAGCATCTATTACAAAATGTGTTTTTATGATTTAAGTTGTCCTCGAATTAAAACATGATTTATTGCACAATGTATTTGCCTAAAGAAAAATGTGGTTGGGAAGATGTTGGTTCATGGTTGCTTTCACTAATGCATTTCTTTTTTTTTTTTTTTTAATTTTATTCCAGAGACCTTTCAGTTTATTTCCAAAAGGCACCATGGTTTTCCCTTCAGCCTCACCTTTTTCCTGAATGGTTTGCAGGTGAACAGGTTAAGCTCCTGTTGTGAATTCAAGCACCGAAAAGGTTCCAGACTTGGAGGCAGACGAGGCTACTTTGGGTTTGTCTGCGTGGAGAGAGCATCTCCTTGCTACAAGTATGGAAACACATTTCCTGCGGTAGAGGGCTGGCTTTGCTGACGTTTTCTTCTTATGTGTTTATTAATGCATTTCTTTATACAATTTTAAAAGCAAAACCAGTGTATATGAGCCCAAAATATCTACGTTAAAGGCTATTTACTATATCACTGAAGGTTTATATTTGGAATTAAAAATATAAGATTTATAGATGATTATATAATAGAGATAAAAGGTGCTAGTATTTTAAGTCATCTTACTTTTTTTTTCTTTTTCCTCAAACTGCCTGAAATTCTGTTTCTGATAGAAAAGAGAGGACAGTTTTTTTTAATTTTTTTTTTTTTACTTTATTTTTTGATGTGAGTAACTGGTCTAGGATTAAAACCCCAAACACATGCCTTGTACCAAGCATCAGTCCTGTGTGACTGAATATTAAAGGTTATGCATATTAGGGGTGTGCTTGCATTATGATGTGGCCCAATTTGCCTTCTCATTATCTTCATTTCAATCTTATAACAAAATGCATGATGAAAGGTTAGTTTTAGCTGTTGTTTATCAGCTTTCATGTTGGACATTCTCTTTGAAATTGGGAGTTTTGCCTTTGGGCTTTCATTTTTTTTCTGAAAATATTCATGGGGAATTGACTAGATGCCAAACTAGAACACAAGAGTGAACCAACCAAGTGACATGCTATCATAGAAGTTATTCTAACAGGAGAAGGGAAAACAACATACTAATACACTAATAATCATGTCACATGGTAATAAGCAGGATAAACACAAAACATGATAAGGGAATTACCAAGAGAAAGGGGCACAAGGGTCATGGGATAAGGAGTTGTCTTAAGTGAGGTAATCAGGAAACACCTCTTTGATGGTTTTTGAGCAGAAACTAGAAAAAAGTTCTCTTCCTCCTGATAGCTTTTTGGAGAGGAAAAACATGCAGAAGGCATGAAGGAGAAGCATACTTGGAGTATGTGTGTCTCAGATTATGTGACCAGAGCCAAAATAAGGAATGGAACAGTGATAGAAGGTGAGGTCAGAGGGGCAGTAGGACCAAACCATGTAGAAGTTCTAAAGTCATAAAGAGTGACTATCATTCAGAGGAGGATGAGAAACCTGCAAGGTTGTGAGCAACTAGCCCAATCTGACAGGAAATCCTATGGGAAAAATAAACCACTAGAGTGGGGAAAATCTTGGAAATTTTTATTTCAGGAAAGAGATATTGGTGGAAAGAGTTTCAAGTGATTGGATTCCATATATATTTTAAAGGTAGAGCTTACAGAGTTTATTGATGGATAGATTTAGGGCATGACATAAAGAGTAGAATCAAAGTTGACTAAAAAGTTTTTGGCCTAAATAGCTAGAAAGATGTCCTATTAACATGTACTTAAGATAGGTTTGTGAAAGAAGCAGGCTTAGAGATCAAATGAAGGGGTTTTGGTTTTGGACCACAGTAAGTATGAGACATCTGAGACACTGTAAATTACTATGTTCACTAGGCAGGTGGATGTATGAATCTGGGCTCAGGTAAGGGGTCTTGGCTTGATATCTAAATTTGAGAAAGGTTTGTATGTAGAAAGCACGGCACTGAAAGTCATGGAATGGAGTGAGATTGCTTAAGAAAGGATACACATAGAGAAAATGTCGGAGAATAAGCTGCACATCATTAAAATTCAGAGGTGGGGGAAATCAAGAGGCACCAGTTTGACAAGGATGGTCAGTGTTCAGAAAGAGAACTCAGACTAATATTTTGGAAATGAACAGGTGTTTGAAGAAGGGAATGCTTAATGGACTGAAATATGTGGGTAGATTAAGTAAAATGAAAACTAGAGATTGGACATTGACTTGGGGATGTGTTTGTTTTTGGTGATCTTGAGACAATTTATAGTGAAGCGGTAGGGATATAGAGCAATTGGGGAAGAACTAAGGTCCGAGATTATAGACATATTTTTAAAAGAGTTTCCTTTAAAAATGGTAATTTGGTGGTAACCAGGTGAGGGAATATAGGGTTCAAAGGAACATTTTACTTTTTAAGAGGTGATACCATAGCATGTCTTTATACTAATGGATATGATTGATACTCTAGAGAAGGAAAAATAGATGAAACATGACATGAAGGGGAAAATTGCTAGCACTTTGTGCTTAAGTAGACTAGAGAAGATAGGATCTAGGGCTCACATGGGGTTGTAAACCCTAAGAAGAGAAAGGTCCTTCTTCTATAGCATCAATAGGAACATTGGCATATAGGGGAGAGAGAAAGGTAAGATGGGGGATTATGAAGACCAACTAAAAGTCATCTGCTAATTGTTTCTACTTTCTAAAATACGAAATACATTTATTAGCTGAAGTTGAGGAGGAGGGGTTGGAAATTTTAGGAGAGGGAACAGGTCTGAAAAAGATCATTCCAGAGAGCAGGAGAATTGAATGGCCTAGAGCAAAATTGCGGTGCCCAGGTGTACTTAGGGCCCAACAGAATTGCCTTCCAGTTATAATTCACTAAGCTCTCTTCTTATTTGGGGGCAAGTCGTTTAACACATCTCTATTTAACTTCCAGGAAAACTAATGAGCTATGATCATCCTCGTGCAAACACATTGCATTCTTTGGGATGTGTACCCATCAAATCTGTACATTTTTAGCTCTGAGCACTTTATAGGAGGTGTGTATACCACAACCTGACTGATGACATCTGCTGTTGTATTCAACATCTCCTAGCCTCTGTACAATCCTTTGTGTGATTTCAGATTCACAAAAAGTCCTCTCTACCTTCTTTCATCCACCTTTGCAAATATTATCAAAGTGGTTATGGCATTAAAGGATAAGGCTTGTTACCCTCAATATAACTATACAATTCTTATAGGAATTGTTTTATAATTGTTTTATATTCCTTAAAGAAATTTGTTAATTTCTAAATCATTTCTTCCAATCAAACCTGTAAATGCTCAAAGTAGTGTTGTTTGATGTCCCCCTGTTGCAGGTTAGGTGGAAATCAATTCAGACATGTTTAAAGGGGTAGGAATGGAAGGGTAAATCTAAAATCTTGTTTATTTGGCCCCTGGCCTATTTGAGATGACTTCGATTATTCCAGGGGCACCAATGCATAGAACTTCAGTGAGAGTTGAGAACTACCTATAAAGAGAACTGATATCACTGGTTATATTGAATATTCTTTTTTTTTTTTTTGGAGACACCATTACAATACTTTTAGTTATTTTAAGGAGTGTATATTATCTCTTCCAGGTTATTCAAAATGAAATTAGTCTTAACTCATTTAAAAAGGGCTGGTTCTGCAAATTTCACAATATGATAAAGGAAAGATGTGGTCAAATAAAGCCATTGGGACTTCTATTTATAGAAATGATTGGAAATTACCTTCTTAAGGTCTTCAGGAAACAAGAAAAGATTAGCAGTGGTCAATTCCAAAATGTGAAGGTTCTACATACTGCGCTCACCCCTTAATTATGGGAAATGTTTGAAGAGGCACGGTAGTTATTTTCAATTGCTAGAGTGAAACTTGGGAAGAAGAGTTGCCTAACGAAGGAGAATGCAGAATGAGCTTTAGTAATCAAAATTGACACCTCAGATATACTCGGAAGTCAAATAGGTCGTCATGACAAGGGGAGCACAGATGCTACTCACTTCGTTCGTCCAATTCCCCTTAGCAGATGGGCAATAAAAGTCTGTGCATGCAGTAGAGAGGCATCAAAGCTTTTACATTGTCCCAGAATAACCAAAGGTAACAGCCTATCAGAAGCTTCAAGGAAGTGGGCTTGGTGTTGCCATTAATGAGGGAAGAACAGCTTGAACAGAAGGCAATGCTAGTAATCATATTTTGTGAAGAGGCATGACACCTTTATTCCAAGGAAAGCTATGTGCTAAGCACATCACCATTATAGTCCAGAAATATTTATCATGCTTATTATGGGTGAGGTAAGTTTATTTTCTTATTTCATTTTTCTACAGTATGATAGCTTGAGTGCAAATCCTTTTAGCTTCCCCCCCCATGGGGAGATGTTGAAATGTTAAGTGATAGAACTCAGTTCTTGCATTTGCTTATTGAGAGAATGTACTAAGACCAATTCCTGTGCTATTTCAAGACTGAAAGTGGCTGGACTTCAGTGAAATCTTCAGTTTAAAAAATTGCTATTAGATTTGATTTAGATTGAGGACAATTTTCAGATTTTACTATTACTCCCATTGTTCCTGGGCTGACAAGTTTTGACTGTACTTGGAAGCCTTTTCACCTGCCCACCTCAAGAGACTTAGTTCCCCAGTAGTGTGTGACATGGAGAGAGGGGGCCATGTGAAGTTCTAGAGAAGGAGGAACATTGAAGCTGATGTCTGCCAGACACCTATGCCAAGTCATGGACTGTCTCCGGACATTGGTGGAAACTTCTACAAATTGTGTTAGTTTCTGGTGAGAGTGGGAGCTTTCTCTGGTGGAAACCCAGCTGTGTGACATTTGTCTGTGTCACTGATCATCTTAGCAGCTACACCTGTCATGGAACACTATGTTGTACTCCAGTGGAAGGTGATGGAGTCTAACAGTTTTGAGCAAGAATTCCATCTACATACCTACATACATCCAGCTAATCTTACTGGATGACCTTGAGCAAGTCATGGAACCTTTTCAGCTTCAGTTTCTCCATTTGCATAACAGTGACAATTGTTTGGTATTGGTTTGTGGGTGATGAATCCCTTAAGATACTATATATTGAGTGCCCAGTAAAGAGTGTGGCACAGAGAGTGTATTCAACAATTTATCATTATCATAATCATCATTTTATTAATGTACAGATTATTAGTACTGAAACTATTATTTTTATACTAACTTTAATACTAACTTAGAAAGACAAAATCAATAGAAAACAATTTATTCACATCACTTTTGTTACAACTGAATAAAAACATTTTTTTTTTATGTTATAACACACTCAGATCATCTGGGTGGTTCACCAGATTTGACTTGGCATGACTTCATGACTTCCACAAATTGTTGCCCTTTTAGAGGAACAAAGTATTATTGCCATCAAAAATTTGCTGGCAGACTGCAGTACAGGCTTCAAAAGGCCACTCAAAAACAATAATGTCAGTTCTATTAGAATTAGTGTGCAGACTCCTGAGTTATTTATTTAAAGGACACAATGATGTGTGACTATGTATGTTTCTTAAAAACATCCATCATACTTATTTACAGTCAACCTTGTATGCCTTTTGTTGTTGTGTTATTGGGATAATAAATTATCAAAGACTGAATGCCATCTTCTGATTATTTTTATCTCAGCTTCCCTATTTATAAACCTGAATGTTCTTTTATTACATAAGTCTCATTGAAAGACTTTAATTATCTATCTATTATTATATATTAGTTTCTACTCATGACTATTATAAGATAAATATCTATTTTATGGTACAAATTTTGGTTTGACACTGTAGTTCTTGGTTGATAAGTTGTTTATTTTGTGGGTAAGATTGTTAAGAATTTGTATTCATTGACAAGATTTTAGTATCAATCATTTATTTTTAATTAAATTTTGTGTACAGTAGAAAAATATTTCTCATACCATTTCTTACTACAATAAGAGATAAGCACTTTAAAAAGTTTTGAGTTTCTACCTTGCCACATAGAAGTTAATAAACACTTTATGCTAATATTTTTCATAGGTGCATTATTGCAATGGGCCTTGACAAAAAACCATCTTCAATGAAACCTAGGAAAGAGAAAAGCACTGATAAAAGAGAAGAACTGTGGAAGGATAGAGAGAATGGGATATCAAGAAGAAATGAGATGGAGGTGAACAAAACCTCTCTCTCAGCCACTTGTTCAGTTCAAGAAATAAATATGGGAGTCAGAGAAGTGAGAACTGCTATGGAAGAAATGGAACTTAAAGGAAAACAAAGACGAAAAGATTGGGAAAACAACCAAGAAAATACTTTCAAATATGGTAATAAATTATCATAGGGCTGTTTTGTTGCTGCTGCTATTACTTAAACTCTTAAAATTTTATCAAAAATATGCATTAAATGTTGCTCCTCAATAGAGATCTTTAGGCAGCTCTGTGTCCTGTAAGGAATCCCCAACCTGCTTCCCTGCTTCTTTGCATGGAGTCCTGCATCCCCTGTCTTGGAGGAGTGCACACAGACCCCAAGGGTTGAAGGTGCCTGTTGTGAGGATGAGGGAGTAGAAGAGGAATTTCTGTCTGTGGGAGCCAGAGGCCCTATTGACTTTTGCACAGATCATTTTAACCAAATAGAATTTCACTTATTTCTTTAGGTTTTGAATGTTCTTTTCTTTAGTGCAAATGAATGGTTTTGTGTCAGGTAGGTATAATCTATATGATTATATGCTGAAGAGTATTCCATCACTAAAAGCAGTTGTCATAGGTTCATGGGTCTGGAGGCTGTCTGCCTTTTTTTTTTTTTTTTTTGCTTTTTTCTCTTTCCCACCCCCTGGCTGTCTCCTCTCTGTTATATATATATATATATATACACACACACACACACACACACACACACACACACAACATCAAATATATTTATTTGATATTGTATTAGTCAGTTTTCCCTTGCTGTAAACAAAATACTTGTCCACAAAAAACAAAAACAACAAAACCCCAAAACAACAGTGTACAAAAAGTTTATTTGGGGTCACAGTTTCAGAGGTTCTGTCCGTGGCCAACCAACTCCATTTCTCTGGGTCTGAAATGAGCCAGAAATCAGGGTAGAAGGGTGTGGTTGAGGAAAGCTACTTAGTTCATGGTAACCAGGAAGGAGCGGGGTGAGGAGCCAAGAACAAGATATTATCCCCAAGGACATGTACCCAGTGACATATTTCTTTCAGCCATGCCCTACTTGCCTATAGTTATCACCCAGTATTCTATTCACACTATGAATCCATCAAATGGATTCATCCACTGGTGATATTACAGCCCCAGGATCTAATCATTGCCTAAAAGCCCCACCTCTGGAGCTTGTTGTATTGGGAATATGCTTTGGACATATGAGCCTTTGGGCAGACATTAAAAGATCCAAATTATAATATATGTAGTAGGTATAACTATTCCCTGCATTTTACAGGCTGAAATTGGAGAGTCAGACACTAGTAAGAAAGTGGAACTAAGATTCATTAGAGATTTGTCCAGTTCTAAAGCTTAGAAATTCAAACCATGTGCAATCTTCTATTCTGTAAAAGCTCTCCTAGATTCCAGATGGTTGTGGGTTTAAAGAATCAGAAAGAGAGAGTGGCTGAGTGTCCCTTTTATACCAAGGAGACAAAGCCTAGATTAGAGGAACAATGACTACAGGTTGGGTTGGCCTGTGGAAGGGCCAGCATCCCAGGTATTTTCTTCCTCATCTCATCTTGTTGCTGCCCAAGGGTTCAGAAATATGAGAGAAAAAACCACAGATCTATTTTAGCACTGGACTTCATGTTTGCTTATTACTGAAATAAGGTGCTTTTCCTAAGAGAGATTTCACTCACAATATTTTTACCCAGTTCACCTCTCTCCATGATCCTGCCTAGTTTTTATCCTTATCTTGAACTGAGAATTTAAAATATTGGTAGCAGCATCAATCGCAAAGACATTAACACATGAGGATGTGTTTTCACTTGTTTTAACTTTAGTGACATGGAGGTTTATTAAAACCATGTTGAATAGAAAAAAAAAGGCTTTCAATTTCTTCATTCTTTTTTTTTTTTTTTTAAAAACAACATGGCTAGAACTATGAGACATATACTTTATGCCTAAGATAGAGCTTTCCCCAAGGTCCTTTTTCTGTGTTGGCTAGTTAATAGAGTTTAAATAGACATTAAAACAAAACAAAACAATAACAACAATAACAACGAAACCCAGCTGGGCTTTGACTCTGCAGAGCAGCCACTGATGTAGGTAGGAGCTGCAAGAAGCTTGAGTAGAGGTTCATGAAGGAGGTGGCGGCTGCATTGATGTTGACCTGGTTTTAACTCAAGTCCTCTTTACTTGGGATGGGAAACAATAAGCTAGTTAAATTCTCTAGAAGAAGGAAAAGGAGATGAAGGAGCAGAAAAAATTATGAAAAAAAAAGGAAGAATGCCAAAAAGCATCCCACTAGTCTTTTATACTGAAACCATGATTTGGTAACCCAAAGGTGGCTTGTGACTCACAGAAGGCTGATATTTAGACATGATGATAGTAGGGGTAGAACAAAGCCTGGCAGCCTTTCATTTTATATTCTGAAAGAAAACACAGAAGCTTCTGCAAAAGAGGATACAGGGACCAATCTTATGGTTTACTACACGTTCCTTCAATGTTATGCTCTATTTTAATAATGTAACTGTAATTATGTCCTAATTGTGATTTTAATCAGGTGCCTCCTCTAAAACATACTGCTGTCCAGGGAGTACATTTTGCATATGATTTCTCTTGCCCTATGATCAGTTCCCTCCACTAAAAAGTCACAATCACTGTTACTACTAGTCTCTGATATTTATTAGGCACCTTCAGTTCATGGCACTGTGTAAAAGATTATTGCTTTTAATTCTATTTATTCATTCTGTTTATTCATTGTACTGACCACATTATGAAGATATTAAAGCTTAAAGATGTCAAACAAATTGTTTAAGATCACATAACTATGGAATGCTCTTAGTGTTAGATACGTGACTGCCTGACTCCAAACCCCTCATATTTTACCACTATGTAATATGATGGATGGCATTGGAGCAGCCACTCATGTCCTGTCTGGCCCCCTGCTTATCTTGTGATCGGGGCAAATATCTTTAAAATGATATATGTATGTGTTCTGCCATTCAGCTTAATCCCTCCACTTTTGAACTCTTCTGCAGTTCCCTAAAATGACCAATGGCCTTTCTTTGATTCCATTCTATCCCCACTCATCGGTGGGAGGTATGTTCCAAGATGTTCTGCAGATGTCTGAAACCATGGATAGTTCTGAAACCTATCTATATTATGTTTTTTTCCTATAATAATAGTTTATAAATTAGGCACAGTGATTAAAGTAATAATAAAATAGAATAATTCTGAACATATATTTTAATTATTTAAAATTTAGTAATTGTTTAACTTCTAGAATTTTCTATATAATATTTTCATGCTGCATTTGATTACAGATGACTAAAACCACAAAAAATGAAACCTCATTAGAGGGAGGAACTACTGTACTCGGCACAACCTCAAATAATTGACCATGAGTCCTATATAAAAATCCACAGTTACCGAGCCCAGTAGTATTGAAACGTTACTGAGGACTCTATATAAAAGCTAGTATAAAACAAATACGCTATCTCTTGTGTGTCTACTTTTATTTTCTCATCAAAAATTGGAGGTTTCTTAATTTCAGCATTGTCTTATTGTAGGGTTTTAATCTTGCAGTTTTATTCTTGTCTTCATAGGACATTCTCAGTGACAGCTTATTGATTGTTAGTTACCTGAGCCAAGAGATGACTATCCTTTAACCTGGTCAGCATTTCTTGAATCAAAATATAAAAGTTTTATTAGTATTTCCTGTTAGTGTCATGAATTATGAACCAAATTCTTCATCTCCTTGCTTGTTTAAAAAGATTTTTTTAACCTTTGTTCTATTTATTTTTATGTGGTGCTGAGAATCGAACCCAGCGCCCCTGAACAGGCCAGGTGAGAGCTCCACCACTGAACCACAGCTCTAGCTGTGGCTTATTTTATAACTTTGTTTTACTGAAGTTCACATTTCTTGCTTAAACATATTAAATATTTTTCATGAAAGTATTTTTGTGAATTCTCTTTTTTTTGCATTCTTCATTATAGATTTTTATTTCATTTTGCCTTCTTATATCTCCCACATTTGTTCTCCACATTAACAGAGCTTTCTTTATATGCATAGGGCATCTATTTCTAAATTAAGTTTCTTTTATTGCAGCAGGGTGGACAGCTCTCAAGTAAATTACCCAAGAGGCCCCACCACTGGAAGAGAAGCCAGAATATCTAATAACTAAAACTCACAAAATTGAGAAGTCTTTATTTTACCTGTAATTTTTATGTTAAGGATAATTATTTATTTGCTTAATTGGTTCTGCATGAGATCCTTCTGCTCTCTATCTTTGGCATGTTGTCACTTCAAGATTTTTAGGGTTTTTTTTTGGTGAAAGAAAAAGGGAAACAATTAAATATGAAAGGTGAAAAATTATAACCACGAGGGACTTCTGGAGTTTATCTGATATGACAATTTCCTTTTCCTGCTACAGATTTGTTGCACCTCTGTTGGGAATGAAGCAAATTTGTGACTGTGACAAGAATAGTTTATTTTGTAAGAATTTTTATACTTGGAATGTGACTATTTCATTTATTGTAATGATGAATAATATACATGATTTCACTCTCACCTAGGTATAGAATCCTTCACAATGCTTTTCTTAACGTCCATTTGGTTCTCAAAGGATGTACTATTCATAGCGTTACCTCTCAGAGCCTTTGAACTTATTAATTGAAATTTTCCACGTCACTGTTCATTAACTTGATATCCAAATATTTTGAACATTCTTCATATGAAATATGACCTCATTGGGTCTCCAAATTAACTTTCATTATTATAATACTGTTCTCTTCATTTTTAATTTACTTCTCATTTATTGTCTTATCTCAAGTTCCTCTCATTCCCTTTCGGTCATTGTAGATGATGATGTTCATTTGTAAATGAACTTTTATTAGGTTTCAGTCTTGTCATTTGGGGCCTCATTTCTTTTGTGCTCTCGGGTACATAACTGATTGCTGTCTTCGATCACTTCCTGTTACTTTTCCATGTTCGCTAATTGTGTGAAAAAGAAGCAGCAAAGGAAGGCCCCCAGAAGAGGAGATAATGGAGTCAAAGTTCTCATTAAAGTGAAATAGGTTAAGTATCAGGGATACTATCTTCATTCTCACAGTGGAGATTTTTTTTTCAGAATATGAAGAAGATTTTGAAATAGATGAGGAGAAACAAGATGAGAAAGCTAATGAAGAAGGACAGGCTGGTGATCAAATGAATGGAATATCAAAGTCACCCTCAGAGGATGAAAAAGATAATTTAGGCCCTGAGGAGAGTGAAATCTTGTCATTGAAGGCACCAGATGCTGATGACAATGTGAAAGATGAGGATGATGGATGCTCTGAGAGTGAATCGGAAGAGAATAAACAAGGCGAGTTGTTTGGCTTATCGTTGGCTTGGGCTGCTAAGTCAGTGTGTTACTGCTTTTCTTTCCCTGATATTTAATAAGATAATCTTTCTTTAAGCAGATGTTTAGAACATGTTACATAACAACAGGATGCTGGACAATCAACCTCCCATAGGTATCCAAATTTCAGATGTGTTCCTTAATCCTCTTTCCTTAGTTTGATGGAATTTTTCAATAGGTTTTTAGTCAAAGCTTGTGATACATCTTCAATTTACTTAGAAAGAAACTATATAATTTTTATCACAATTTTCTCTTACACACACACACAAACACACACACACACACACACATGCATGCACACCATTTTGTGCCTTTTGAAAAATGACATGTAGCTCTTGCTCCCTAAAAGGAAAAGCTGAAAATTTGTACCTTTATTTCTTTCTATTTTTTCCCTCATTTTTTTTTCTTTTACTTAACTTACCTTAAGCACAGAATACAAGCATATTAACCTCATGGAAGAGTTTGTGGTCTCCTTATAATCTTTAACCATAAAATGACTCCAAATGTTCACAGAGAAAATACAGTATTCAGGTAGCAAGAGAAACTTTCATTACCCGAGGCATACATACATTTTTAAGACATTTTAAAATATCTTAATTCACCAAATTCTGTTCAATACAAGAAGAAATACATTTTTTCTGCTTTGTCCTATAAGAGGATTTGGCCAAGGCTCTGTGGTTTCTAGTTAATCAAATATCTTTCTTGGTACATATTGAGCATTTCCCAGCAATAGCAATAAACCTCTCTTATATTTACGTATTTGTATGTTTTTGTAATTTGCTTCTGACTAGAGAACAATGTCACATTACAATTATGTTTTGAGTGGCTGTCCATTTTTTCCATTCTTTTTACCCCTCAAAATTTTTTTCCTGTATTAAATCCCATAATTTTAAATTTATGGAACACTTTAGGATAATATGAGCAGGGAGTAAGTAATCAAGTAATCACAAAGCAAATAGTTTGCAATTGCACCGTCTTCAAAAAATAATTCAAACAATTCTAAAATTTTATTCACAAGTGTGCAAGGCAATAATAATGACAATGATAATAATAATAATAATAATAATAATAATAATAAAATAGAAATCATTTAGAGTAAAACAGAAAATAATTTGGCTAGGAAGCTGAGATGGAACTATGACTATGTTTGCAATAAAAATCTAATCCTGAACTTCCTTATAGCCAAGGTAAAAAGTAAAACAATTCAAAAAAATTAGGATGAAGTTAACTACTAGTAAATTTGAAAACAAGATTTTCACTCATTTTTATTAACTACTTAAGATTAATGGTTAGACACTAAAATATATTTTAATGTTTTCAATCAGGCCTTCTCTATATAATTTCTCTTAATACCTATGTTTTATGTTTCTTAGATTAGATATGCTTCATATATATATATATATATATATATATATATATATATATATATATTTTCTCATTTTGAATGTGAATTTTGGAATTAAGTTTATGTGCCTATAGGCATAGAGAAGGTTAAAGAAGTCAATGGAAAAGTGATATCACCTGAGTCAATAATTTTAAAGCAATTACACAAGTGACTTGAACCTGGAAAAGGATTGAAAATGTGTTTGCATGTAAATATATCTGATTTAAAACATAAAAGACTCTTAATTTTTTATTTCTACAATAATGGTGGGAGATTTTCAAGTTGTTGGTTTCATGAAGATTCTGGAACTCTGAATATCAGTCACCTAGGGATTAGTTTTGAGCTATGTAATCATGTTGTTTGGGGGTATTGAATGGATTCTTCTAAGACAGCATAATTTGTGTGTGTGTGTGTGTGTGTGTGTGTGTTCAAGCAGAGAAGGATGTTAGCAGTATTTCAAAAGGCATCAAATTGATAATGTAATAAATCACATAATAGCTTGCTGTTTATTAAGACTTACTATGTGCTAAGCCTTTTACTAAATGTTTTATATGACATTTAATTTACTTCAAATAATTTGGAAAAACACTTTTTTCTTTTAATCTCCATTTTATAAATAAATAAACTTTGAAATGGTAAATTAAGTAATTCCCAAGGTCACATAGCCAGAAAGTAGTGGAAACAGTATGTAAATATTACCCAACTTCAGAGTCTAAAATTTGGAGAAAATCGCATTTCTTCAAAATCAGAAAATATTCCCTTGCCTAAAATTAAAGTAAGTCGCTCCAATAGGAGGATTTTTGTTTCCTTAAAGCATTTATGTTGAGCCTTTTATCTTATCTACAACTTTTGTTTGTATAACTTTGTTTCTAAAAAGAGGAAATAAAAATGGGCAGCTTATAATTTCACCCACATTTGTCTTTCTCCTTCCTAGACTGAGTTCTGTGTTTACTCTGAGGCTTTTTGCTAAGTTCTAGCTCATCCCTCTCCTCTTCCATTACTCTGCCCACTTCAGCAGCCTCCACAGAGTTTTTTGTTTTATGAAGCTCTCTTCAGTGGTTCATTTTACATTCATTGATTCAATCTGTGTTAAACGTTGTCCTTCAAATTATTTGTACACATTAATAATACGTAAATTATTTACACTAGAAAAGCCAGGACTGTGTGTTATTCTTGTTATTCCTCACAGAGCTGATATAAATATAAAAAATAACACAATTCTATGGTGTTTGGTTAATACCATGATGTCTAGGTACATTTATGCTATATAATTATTATTGGAATTTCCAAAAAAATATATTTAGCAGCATTGTATAGATACAGAATATAGAATGTTTAAATAGGTATGCAATAAAAAAGCTATAAGAATATAGCCAGTTCACAAAGCTTGGAAAATTTAATGGTCAAAAATTAAGTTGGTCAGCTGTTTTCTTTTGTTGTTTTGATATTGATGTCATCAAACTATCCTTTTAAAAGGTCCTTTTGCATCCTGGGCATCTACATGAAAACACCATTATTCTGAAATAAAATCTCATTGCTTATTGCTGTCTCATTCCTTCACCACCAGGTTCACTTATTTTCCATCCCTTTATTTTGATAATCTACCTTTGTGTTATTCAAAAACACGTCTTTTAGCCTGTGAAGTATCAGAATTAGAGATTTCATTCAGCAAATAACTAGCATGTATTTAAAATGATGACATGATAGATTCCTCCACTCTGTTGAAAAGCAAGACAGCATTTCATCTTCAAAAGTGTAAGAGGCATATTGTGACCACTGAAACTCAGACACCAGCACATCCGTTTTATTGACATGATTAAGAATCTTGCTGTTAGTATTTGGATGTGTTTCATTTGAACCTGCCTGCACCTGTTCCCAGAGGGCAAACAGTTGCCTAGGCTGTCACTCTTGTGACAAGTCAGCCCCATTTAAACTGCCAGCTAACAATTGTGCTGGCCCGCCTTGATGAACACACTGCGCTGAGCAGCCCGTGAGTGATAGAGTGCTGTGGACTGAACGCTGACTGAAAGAGGACTCTGGTTTAGGAATGATGTGTGAGCCTTCCTATCATTTAAAAAGAATGACAGCCTCCTTTCTCTGCATTTGTGTTGGCAACCCCAGGCACTAATTTACCAGTTGAAAATATATTGTCACAGATGAATGTTATAAGGTTGCAGGGAAAGTATCATGTCACTGGGAATATGCTTTTATTCTTTTATGGACAGTTTGGATGATAGTGCCTACGAGTAAGAGGTAAAGACTAAGTAGCTCCTTATGAGAGGGATGAGGGAGAGACAGAGACAGAAAACAGAAAATCATTTCCCAGTATATGAAGAGAGCAAGACGTGAAGCTTTTTTTTTTTTATCTAGTAAGAAAGATAATGATTTCTTTCAGTTATTTTTGACTCTCTTAGAAGTCATTTTTATAAATGGAGAGTATTCCTCAATCCACAGTCATGTCTCAATAATCAAAGTAGGAAGTCACAGCTTTAAGGTGGGTACTTTAATGCAACACCATTCCTTAGTTTACACTAAATATTTTTATATGAGTTATTTCTCTGTGGTCTTAGTTCTTCCCTGTTATACAACAATGCCACTATCTAGACACTCAGGAAACTTTTGTGAATGAGGGGCTGATTGACTGCATTAATAAACTAAAATATAAAACTTACACAACAAAATATAAGGAGATTTTTTTCCCTCTGATATATCTATGTTTACCTGTAGATATTCATTTGTACAAAGTAATGCACATATTTTTCCCGTTGATGAATTGAGACAATTCATGGCAATTGTCTGTATGAAGACATATGTTCTTATAGCTAATTACTACTCTTACCTGAAATTTAATGATTTCCATCTCCATTTTCATTAAGCACATATCCATTCTATTATATTTATTGAGTATAAATCATTTGTCTATTTAGGTATTGTTTAACATAAAGATATTGACTGAATCCTAGTATTTAATGTAAAATATTAACGGTTTCAGGAACTCATGAGCATAATCAAGATAGAATTATTCATACAAGTAGTAGTAGAATATTTAAATTCATTTGTCATGGTTCATTTGAAGAAAACAGGAGTGTCACTGATGTAGATTTTGCCATAAATTCTTAAGACTAAGGAATAAGAAAGGGAGTTGTGGTGAATTTCCACAATTACTTCATTAGTATTTGTTAAGTAGCTGAAATGTATATATATTTACATTTTTATATATTTAATTTATATATATATATTTATAAACTATATATACATGATACTATATATATAAATACATAGGTATTTATATAAATTATATAAATACCTATGTATTTATATATAACATTGACGATGATATACATCATCGTCAATGTTATAAATAAACCTGGTAAGGTTTTGGCTGCTATATTTTGCTGTATTCATATTACATACTTCAGAGTGTCTTATGTGTGCTTTGGACTCCAGAGTGGTTGACAAAATGAAGATTAACTACTGGAAGTTGAAAAAGGAGGGCAGACTATCTCATGAGTTCTGATCTTGGAGAGAACTATATCCCACTTGTCTTTGAGTGGTGACAGTAGAAAATTAACTAAAAGGAGCAATAGTGAGTCCATGATAGTCGGACCTTCCTGTTTCAGAGTGGTTAAGTAGGTAGAGGGGTTTTGGTTTTACTGCCTTGTATTAATGCAATACAATTGTTTTGCAAAAAACTTTCTGCTTTGTAGCTAATAGCCATTGAATATTATTTAATGTTTTTGGACCTCACTTTTTGAATCTAGAAGGAAAGAAGATAGGGACTACTCCACAGGATTAAATAAGATGTTTATAAAGAGTTTACCACACTGTTTGGTATATAGTAAGTGCATAATCATGATCAAGCTTTATTATTTTTTTCTTCAGTAAATGGTAGCTATAATGACAAAAAATAAATTTATTAGAATATACCACATATATGATAGGAAAAGACTAAAAGTTATAAGGAAATGGTTAATTTGATGAGGTTAAATTTCTGCTATGGAATTTTTATGATGACTTGTAGAGAACAAGTAGAATTATCTCTATTTTAAAGTCTAGAAAACAGAGATTTAGAGAAATTATGTACCATAAGCAAACTCAAAGCTAATTAGTAGCTGAGTTATGATGGAGACACCTACAGTGTGTGTTACAGAAGACATATTATTTTATTTCAATTCTGTGTTTTATAAAATAAGATTTTATTCACAATGATGAAACAAATACAGGACTCGTTCTCAAAGAGATATCTATAACATGAAAAGGGAAGAAGGATTTGAGGACTGATTGTGATGAGAATAAGTCACAGATGCTGCATAGAATGTGAAACAATGGGATCAAACTTGCTGGCTTTGGCCAAGGCATCCAGCACTGAGTGCAGACCTTTTCTTTGCCAAAAGGACCAAGAACAAGTCCTTTCAGCATTAATACCAGAAAGAGACAAATGGAATCAAGAGGAGGTAAAGTTGTTTACCAACATGCCTCCAAGAGACATTTTCCCTCCTAATGAAACAATTTACATATATGCCCCTAAATTTCCTCTATATGAAAGTTTTTTTAAATATAAAAATGTGTTTCATTTCAAAAAGAATAAATAGAAATCATTTTGAAAATCTCATTCCATGGCCCTGAAGCTTTTGGAGTTTTTTTGTAAGCAAAATCTTACTCTAGTCTGTATGGAAAATGAGAGCAAGAAATGAGACTGAAACTGAATTATACCATGAGGTTAGAGAGAGATTTGAAAACTGAAATGAGTTTATATAGGAGGTCAGGTGCCCTCGCCACTTCAAGGCCATTCATTCTCCTGATCTTTCTTTGCTGAAGGACTGACTCAAAATTGAACCAGAGCGTGTGTCAGCCTTTTGAAATAAAATAATACAATTAATAGAAGCTACTAAAGAAGATAGAAGAGTGTTTATTTTTTTATCAAATGAACAATACTCAAGGCCAAAAGAGGGAGTCATCATGCCAATATACTGGTGATAGATGTAGTTTTGGAAGCTCAGATTAAGTATAACATTGTATCCTAACTAACTGCAATTAATGAAGGCTATGGATGAAATTGCTAGTAAGCAATATTTGCTTTCCCTTTTTAAAAATAGCTATAAAATCCTTACAATCCTTACAAGTGGGGAGAGCATGGACCCTAAAGTCTTTGAACTGATACAAATCCAAAGGAGAACAATTCTCCTTGGTCTGCCATCTTCCCTTGCATATCAAGATTTTGTAAAATGGAAAATAAAGAATAAGTGGCTAAAATATGTGATTTCTTTGAAGAATAGTGGTCATCTGGTGTGCTTGTCAAGGTACCAGGGAGATAAGAACAAATGGAATTATGCTTAAGGGGTTCTGTTGCTCAAAGGCTTTTTTCCAGTTTGTTTGTTTGTTTGTTTTTTGCTGCTGTGTAGCATCTCTCAAATCTTGGTGGAAACTCTGATATGTCTCTGTGACTATACGTAAAATGCTCAGACCTGTCACAGAGAGCTGATGGGGCTGGAGGGACAGAGAGAAGAGAATAAAGGTAAAGACAGGCATTTTTTTTCTCTTAAACTCTGTGTTAGCTGCTTCAGCCATCTGTGTAGCTGTCACACAGAAATAAAAGAGAAAAAAATGAATAAGAGCACAGAGAAAAAGAGAAAACAAGAAAGCTAGGCAGCATTTATGTGTAGGCTATTTCCTTTGAAAATTTTTCTATAATAACAATTATAAACCATATCTATTGGTCAAAAAATTTGTATTTCTGTGCTCCAGAGCAGTGTATACAGTGACTTTTGTGCTATGCATCTTTCTTATAGAGCCTTATAGAGTCAATGTTTATGTTATGTTCTTTTGAGGTTTTTTTGAAGATTTTTTGGGGTAGTATGCAAACCACTGTTGACTACTTTAAATTTCTGGACCATGTATCTGTAGCACCACCTGAATGGATGGCTCAAGTCTTTTTTTCTGGCTTGGCATGCTCATCCCGCAGCTTCTGCACTCTCTGCCTTTTTCAGAGCCCTCCCTTGAACTATGGGAGTTGTTTCACCCTCAGAGACAAAGAGCCTGCAAGTGCAAAGGAATTTATATTCTCTAGGGTGGCCCATAGCTAGTATCACACTGATCCAAAGGATGAAAAGTCAGCTCCATCTTAATTTAATTATATCCTTTTAGTATAACTTAGACATCAGAGGTCCCTGTTGGAACAGGCTGAGGTTGAGTCCTTGTTTTCAAATAGCTCCTTGGCTGATCACTTCTCTTCCTGGCCTGGGTTCCTCCATTCCCTTAAATGCTTCTCCTGGAGCATATTTTCAATACAGTACTTTCACTTGCAGTTTGATCTCAATGCCTTGCTTCAGGGCAACTAGAAGAATGACAATATCTCCTTCAACACACACACACACACTCACATAAACACACACATACATCATTTAACAACATTCATTAAATATCAACATAATGTGTAAATGCACAGATTTTACCAGGGTGGTGAATACTATGGTAGACAAAAATGGGAGGATCATACACAGAGAATACTAGGTTTATATAAGAGGATAAATAAATACATGCTTGCTATCAAAGCAAAGGATAATTCATTTTTTTCTATAACAAAGTAGATATTTAGAAAGATTTTCCAATAAAATTAGTTCTAAAATGCAAATCAAAACAATAGGTTTGGGTTTTGATTAAATACAAGCTCTTATGAAAAACTTGTATAGTTATAGATTAGACAGAATTTTCTTTATTATGATGATTATGTGGGGAATGTTGGAAAAGGAAATCAAGTCTACTAAGCTATATTTTTAGAAACTTTAGTATGATTTATTACTAATATAGTTTCCACAATTAAATGAGATTCTTTATGGAACAACAATAATATCATCATATTTATCTCCCGTTTATATTAAAACAGCTTCAACAATCTCATCCGGAAGTCACCCATATTCTAGTGACAGTGAAGACGATCTTGCAGAAAGAGCCAGTGAAGTACATGTTGAAAAAAGTACACAAGAAAGTCCTAGAAGTTCATCTGCTCAGGAGCTGAGTGAAAATGGTGAGTCAGAAAAATCCCATCATCTAATTGAGGAATCCTTAGAAATTGAAACTGAAGACCAAGATATAACAAAAGCAGCTGTGGAGACCCAGCCTCTGCCAAGAGAGGAAAGCTGTGAGAATGTTCTTGAAGAAATGCAGAAAGGAACCCAACAGATTGCAGAGAATTTATTTGAGAAGTCCAGGAAACCTACCTCCAGGGAAGAAAAGGAAAAGAGTAAGCTTTGGGAAGTAGGCACCACTAAGGTGAAGGACAAAACAGCAGGTCTCCCTGAGGTGGAGAAAGAGGGTAAGTATGGCCTCTGAGTTGACTTGCCATTGTCCCCATGCATGGAAGCTGATTTTGGCCATTGCATACTGCCCAAACTTGGGAAATACTGCTGTGATACGGTAGAGGGATTCAATATTTTCCCTTTTGTCTCTTTGTCACATAATCATACATGTATTTTCAGCTTGCTGATTTCCTTCTATTGCATTTTAAAAATTATTTGACAATTCTTACACGATGTGTTTCCTATTTTTCTGTATATTCTTTCCTATGGAAATTCTATCTCAAGAATCAAATAAAGCACAATACATATCTGAAAGCTTGCAAGGGTTATGTGTGGCTTCTTAGAGTTTAATACTAGCAACGCTCTTTGTTGTTAGCTATATGTGTGCACTTATCCATAGCTTACTTTGATAGAAGCTTATCATGTTCTAAGCACAGTTCTAAAGGCATATATTAACTCATCATATCTTGCAAGATCCCAGTCTTTCCAAGGTTGAGGTAATGCAATCATTATCTCTTTTCCACAGATGAAAAACAAAACAAAACAAAAAAAAACGTGTCTTGAAGAGGTTAGGTTTTGCCAAGTATTATGCAGCTAATTTGGGGTCTTTCAAGGATTTGAGTTCAGGCATAGTGGTTTCAGAGTTTCCAAAGATTTCCTACTGCATCCTTGTAGTTGAAATTTAGATTTAGGTAAAATTATAAGAATTGCCTAAGACACCCTAAACTTGACTTGGAGTTCTATAAAATCGAGTTCTTTGTGATCCCTGGGTTTCCTAGGTGTGTAGGATGGTGGCATTTAATATGGCAAGACTAAGGAATGTCCAGACCAGAAGACCCCAGGACCTTAGATATATGGAAGGCCTCATGGTTTTCTAACCTTTGGGAGAATAGTGAAAGAACCAGTGGACAGCTGGATGCAGGGATCTCACAAAGTGTCCTGTGCCCCGTCACTGGTTGCACCCCTTCCCCCTTCCCTGCTCTCTTATCAGTGTCCCCTGCCAATGCAGAAACCATTCCTGATTCCATGATAACATTTTTCAATTTTTAATGTGATGAAAATCCAGGTGTGTTTTAAAGACTTAATGTCGATATTTCAGCCCATAAAAGTGGTTATTCCTGGGGCCCACAGCTAGGAATGAAGGATGATAAATAGTTCTCTTTCCATTCTGTTCAACTGTTAATATTAACATTGTACTATGTGCTGAGCATCATAGTCAATAAAAAAGCATGTTAGAGAGTTCTTGACACACAAATAACTGGACAAAGCTTAGTAGTTATCCAAAAAAGCAGAGAAGGTCCAAAATATCATGAGCCTTCAAAGAAAGAAAAATCCCCCCCCCCTTTTTTTTGAGATACTCTGAAAGTTTTCATGAAGAACAGATTTGAGGACTTTAAAGGTCAGATACAATTTTGGGGGTTGAATGCAGGATGATAAAAGTGCATTCCATGTACTAGTATGCAATGATCTTAAAATAAGTTATCAATAATAACCATGGTATAAGCTACTAATTATTTTTATATTTTTAAATGGCCCAGAAAATCCTAGAAATGTGCTTTTTGAGCCTTTACCAAAAAGTTTGTTAATCCCTCCCTAAAATTATAATACAAACTCTCAACATTTTCAAATCGTTTTTGCCATGCATGAATCAAAATTCCTGTTAAAATATATTTGAAATCCTTTCATAAAATAATTTGAATCTTTGGTCTTGGATTTCATGGTTAAATTATGGTATATCAGAACATTTATAGATTATTATATAACAGAAATTTTTCATAATTTGGAAAGCTGTTAATTAAAAAGGTAGAGGGTTGGGTTGGGGTGTAACTCAGAGGTAGAGCGCTTGCCTAGCATGCCTGAGGCCCTGGGTTAAATCCCCAGTACTGCAAAAGAAAAAGTAAAAAGGTAGAGTTGTTAAAGTTCAGTAGTAGCATTGATATTACTATTATTATTTTGTGTTTCTACTTCAGAAAGCTACATTGTTTACCTTTTGTAAAGTAGGATGCACATAAAACAGGTTATAATTAGGCAATAGAATAGCAATAGCAGAAATATACTATGATCATGTCACTTAGAAAAGAGAAGGGTTTTCCCTCCTTTGATTAGTGAAATGATAAATATATTGGTTTATTGTTTTTTTCTCAACTACATTGGAAACCTGTTTTTAACTTGATAACTTCAACAATTTAAAAACATTTTGTAGTTATTTTTTTTAATTAAGGGAGGTTCAACAGTAAATGGCAAGTTGAGGGACTATTTATTTTTGTTAAGCTCTAATATTTGTGCTAAGTCTTTTTATTAGTGTTTATTCTTCATTTCACCTAATGCATACACGGAATAACATTTAGAAAATAGAGAAAGATAGTTTCAAATAATCATTCATAGGTTTATCTTGCAATAAAAACAACTTCATATTTCTAAACCTAGGGTTGCAAAAGCTATGTTGTCATATTTTTATAAAATGTGTACTTCTTTGTATCTTAATGTTATACCATGATCATTTTCCATGCTATTATATAATCTTTATAAGCATATTTAATGTCTGTGTTCTATTCTGTAATTTTTCTCATGTACAAACCATTTTACAATGTTGGATATTTTCTTATTTTCACTATTATTAGTAGTAGTACTTTAGTACTTAATTACCTTTATTATTTCAAATTTGTAATTATTTCCTTCAGATGGCTTCCAAGAATAGTTTCTGGTTCAAAAGTTAATTGTTTTGATAAACTATTTTTATTTTTTAAGGTGGATAGCTTTAATCAAATTGAATAGCAAAATATGAAGACATTTTAGTAATTGTTTCCACATGTAATGATGTTGTCTATGATGTTACAACACAAAGTAAAGCACTAGGCTTCAGAGGTCACTCTACAAAAAGTCTCCTTTACCTACTGAACTAAAATCTAATTCCTTTAAAGAAAATAGTTTTTTTTTAACAAATCAGCTATGCCAAACACTGATTTTTTCTCTATTATAAGCTAACTTTTAAAATGTCATTTTAGATGATCATTCCAAATACTTTTCCTATTTAAAACACCTTAAAATGTCCCTAAGATAAAGTTCTTTACCTTTTTTTTAATTGGTTCTTTTTAGTTACACATTACTATACAATATACTATGGCATATTTATAGAAGCATGGGATATAATTTGTTTTAATTCAGTCCCCAGTATTTGTCTTTCCCCTCCCTTTCTCCTACCACCTGTTCCCTTTCCTTTACTCTATTGATCTTTCTGCTATTTACTTATAGTTTTCTTGTGCTTTTTTAAAATTAGTGTCATGTGGATGTATATGATAGTGAGATTCACTATAGTATATTCATACATGCACATAGGAAAGTTATGTCAAATTCACTCCACTGACTTTTCCTACCCCATCCCTCCTTTCTTCATTTTATTCTTCTTTGTTTATTCCTTTGATCTTCATTGTTTTAATCCACTCCCCTTGTTTTGGATTAGCTTCTGCATATCAAAGAAGTATTTAATCTTTGTTTTTCTGTGGATGGCTTATTTCACTTAGCATGATTGTCTTCAGTTCCATCCGTTTGCCAGCAAATGCCATAATTTCATTTTTCTTTTTAGCTGAGTAACACTCACTGTCTATATATCACACTTTCTTTATCCATTCATCTATTGAAGGGAACCTGGGTTGACTCCATAGCTTAGCTAATGTGAATGGTGCAGCTGTAAACACTGATGTGGCTGTCACTGTAGTATGCTGATTTTAAGTCCTTTGGGTATATACTGAGGAGTGGGATAGCTGGGTTATATGGTGGTTCTATTCCTAGTTTTTTGAGGAAACTCCATACTGTTTTCTAGAGCAGTTACACTAATTTGCCACCCCACTAAGAATGTATGATTGTACCCTTTCCCCCCACATCCTTGCCAACATTTGTTGTTACTTGTATTTTTGATAGTTACCGTTCTGACTAGAGTGAGATGAAATCTCAGTATAGTTTTGATTTGCATTTCTCTAATTGAAATGTTGAACATTTTTCATATACTTATTGATATTTCATATTTTTTTCTTTTGAGAAATGTCTGTTTAGTTCCTTTGCCCGTTTATTGATTGGTTTATTTGTTTTTTTTTTATTTTTTGGTGTTAATTTTTTAGTTATCTTTATATCCTGGATATTAATGCCCTATTTGAGGAGCAGGTGGCCAAGATTTTCTTCCATTCTGTAGGTTCTTTTTTCACATTCTTGATTGTTTCCTTTGCTGAAAGAAATCTTTTTAATTTGATGTCATCCCATTTGTTGACTTTTAATTTTACTTCTTGTACCTTAGGAATCTTGTTAAGAAAGTCAGTTTCTGAGCCAATGTTTTGGAATATTGGGTCTACCTTTTCTTCCAGCAGGTGCAGTATTTTTGGACTAATTCCAGAAACGATTTTTGATCACTTTGAGTTGATTTTTGTATAGGGTGAAAGATGGAGGTTGAATTTCATTCTACTACATATAGATTTCCAGGTTTCCCAACACCATTTTTAAAAGAGGCTCTCTTTTATCCAACAGATGTTTTTAGTGTCTTTGTCTAGTATGAGATAATTGTATTGATTTGGGTTTATCTCTGTGTCTTCTATTCTATTCCATTGGTCTTCTTGCCTGTTTTGGTGACAGTACCATGCTGTTTCTGTTACTGTAACTCTGCAGCATAATTTGAGGTCTAGTATTGTGATGACTACTGCCTCACTTTTCTTTCCAAGTATTACCTTTGCTATTGTGCATCCCTTATTTTTCCAAATAGAGAAGCATATTAAAGGGATATGAGTAAGAAAAGAAGAGCTTAAATTATCTATTTGCCAATGACATGATTCTATATTTAGAAGACCTTCCCCCCCCCAAAAAAAAAAAACTCCACCAGAAGACTCCTAGAGCTCATAAATGAATTTAGCAAAGTAACAGGATAAAAAAATTCAACACTCATAAATCAGTTGCATTTCTATACTCTAATAACAAATCTGGTGAAAAAGAAATTAGGAAAACTATCCCTTTCACAATAGCCTAAAAAAAATAT